AACCAAATTTCTCATTTATAATGTATGACCCACCTTATAACTTACTACCTTTTTGTGTGCTCATCAGCCTCAAATGCGGTTTTCCCTTTTTTACCTGACATCTCCTGCTTATCAAATATAAGCTTATGTGCCACCTTAGTTAAGCCTTTATAATCCTGTGTCTCCCTTCTTCCCAGAAGTAGTAATTTTTTAAAATTTTGGCCTTTAAAAAGTTCTTTAGGGCCAGCCCGGTGGCGCACTGCTACAGTGCGCCGCTTGGGAGCGCGGCGGCGCTCCCGCCGAGGGATCGGATCCCACATACAGACCGGCCGCTCACTGGCTGAGCGAGGGGCGGGAGCAACACCGAGGGTTGCGATCCCGTGGCCGGTCCCGGGACCGGCGCAACATTGAGGGTTGCGATCCGTTGCCGGTCACGAAAAAAGACAAAAAGGAAAAAAAGAATAAGAAACTTCTTAAAGTTCCATATGTGATTATGTTACTTTAAGCAATGAGGAAAGGAGACAGTTGTCAGTCTGTTATGCATTACCTTTAGCATACTTTTTATCTACCTTCTTTTGAGAAAAGGTAGATGGAAGATAATAATAGGAGGGTACTTCAAAAAGTTCATGGAAAATAGAATTAAGAGTTAATACAAATCTTTCCACGAGCTTTTTGAAGACCCCTCATATGTTTTAGATTTACGTATTACATCGGTTTGGTTTAGAATGTAAGTTAATGATAGTTCCAAAAGGCCAGCTCAGCCTTAATATAAAAACATTTGATATAAAATATGAATATATTTATTATAAAATAAAAATATTTTATTGGCAATTATTTCTAAACTCTGGGCTCAAATCCCTCATCTTAAACTGGAGTCACACCCACCCTGTGTCTCCCTTCTCTCCTAGATACTGTTCGAGCTCTTTCCTTCTCTCTAGAACCAAAGTTTTGAAAAAATCGTCTACATTTTACTTCCTTCATTTCCTCGTTTCCCCTATCTTCCTTTCACCCTATGCTCTCTCCTAGATACTGTTCGAGCTCTTTCCTTCTCTCTAGAACCAAAGTTTTGAAAAAATCGCCTACATTTTACTTCCTTCATTTCCTCATTTCCCCTATCTTCCTTTCACCCTATGCTGATTGTAGCTTCTGCCTCCATTACTGCATTGAAATGATGCTCACTAAAGTAACCCTGATGTTCATTTTCTAAATCCAGTGAGAATTTTCGTTCTTCATTTTATTTTGTTGATCCCACCCTCCTTGAAGGAACTTATAAATCCCATTCAGCTTTAAAATGTAAAGTAATAAAGAAAATCATGTTAGTTTATTATCATAAAAAACCTTGTTGATATGAGGACTTCAAAGGAGAGGAATCAGCAAAATGAAACTGGTGATATATCAGCTAATTATATATGAGTATGATGCCAAGTAATTACTGATAGTTTTATTTTACACTTTGGAAAATTTTAGTCTGAAAAACTTTAGTCTGGTTCAGCTTTAGCTAGATAGTAGGGAACTGTGCCAGTTTTAGCAAGATGGTATAGAATTTTAGTAGATAGTTGGATAGCAGCTTCTTCCCAAAACATTTTTTCTCCTCTCTCAGTTGAATAAGGGTTCTGGTCTTAGATTTGATCTTTGACCTCCATGATGTGGCAACTTGACCTAATAGAATATTACATCTAGAATACAACTGATTCTAGCTCTCTTACTACCTGCTAAATAATCTTGGGTAACTCAAATGAATTTTGAAGATTCAGTTTACAATGACACTTCTGAACACTGGAGAATTATCGTAAGGATTAGAGAAAATATGTATGAAGCATCTACCACATGATAGTCACTCAATATGTTTTTGTTTAAGCTAAACCAAAACTCAACCAAGCTGAGGAGCTTATATATAGATTAAATATCTGGACTAAAATTTCTCTTCCTTGGGATGATTAAATCATCTATATTATTTTCAATAAATTTTAATTTTGTAAATGGCATGGAAAGTTATTTGGAGTATTATTTTGGCCAGACATATTACTATTTACAGTTTATATTTAATGTTATCCTGAAAAATGGCTGAATTTAACTTCATGTCAGGTCAATTAACTGAACAGGACAATTAACTTGAGAGGCCTTGATCAGCACAGTGTAGTAAATAAGAACCTGTCTTTTCTAGTGTGGAAATGCCTTATCTGTTAAATTACCCATGTTCTGAAGCTATGGAGACTTATTTGGATTTGGACTCAATATGTAAGTTAATCTCATACCAAAGTTACACTTCTAGCTGGCTGAACATCCTTATTTGGGAGAAATTAGAGGAGTGAGCCATTTTAAGGTATCAGTACACAAACAACTTTTCAGTTCCACTGGGCAAATAGCTGCCACTCTGATTCTTTGAGCCCAGGCTGTATTACTGATCATGACTGAGAGTGCCAATTGCTTGTCCTAAATCTTTTTCTAAAAACAAGAGGAAGTTGACTTAATAGGAAGCGAGAGAAACTTGTTAGTTCAAAGATGATGAAGCACTAGAAAAGGACTATCAAGGGAAAATGTGAAGTCTCAGTCCAGTTAGTATTAGTAATGGCTAAATAACAAACTTTTAAAATAGTTTGTTTGAGACCTGCCTGGGATGGTAGTAGGTGATCTCTTAGGACACTTTTTACCTCTAGATTTTCATTTCCTAGTGTTCTATGCATGACTATATTCTATGATAATAAAAATCCAAAAAATATAGAGAGAATGGGAACATTTGTAGCTCAC